CTGTGAGTGGGTTAGGACCTATACTTTGTCAATGAAGGTACTATACTCAGGCTCAAAGAGATCCCTGCCTCACCCAGACATGGGCAGGCACTCAAGTCTCTAGGAAGGTCATTCCTGCCTGCTCCCTAACATTTTCAAGGCTGCCAAGTTGAGGAGGTAGAGGTGCTGGGCTGGCTGGCACACTGTTCTCTTTTCCTCCTTTCGAGGCCTCTGGAGTTTGGGTGTTGAATGGGCTGACTTGGATCTCACATGCTCTGAGCCCACCTGCTGGTGCTCTCCTACTTGACTGTACCCTAGCATCTGCCCTGCCTTGCTCCTGCACTCCTAGACATGTCAAAAATCCTTCAGAAAGGCAGTGTGGGGGACTCCCCTTTGAATGGCAGGGGTTAGAACCTAGTTGGAGGGTGTGGATGGTACCTGGTGGAAGACTCTGCTTGAGGCCCATCTAGGTAGAGAGCTGGCCCAGCTCTTACTCTACTGTCTGTGGCCACTATTTTCCTGCTGTTTGGGGGGACCTGGCTCTTGACTCCTGGGGCAGCAGGGATGTGGGTCAGATTTGCTGGGAGTAGGGGACATGGGTGTAAGTAGCTCTAGAGCTTGTCCCTACGCAACAAGCATGGTACACCAGTCAACAGGGTCCAGGACATGTACTAACCCTATACACTGATCAAGGGGACAAACAGTGACCACAGTGGCTATTTGTGAGAGCCAATGCCAGCAAGGCAGAGTGGCTCACACTCCACCCCTCTGTGGGAGGGTCCCTCTTACATGGGAGGAGAGAGCAGATATCCAGCTGAGTCAGGTCCTGGGAGCAGGAGCCATCAGGGCCATTTGTTGCCACAGTGACAGTCATATCAGCTATTATTCCTCAAGTTTCAATACTGGTTGACTCTAGAGCCACATTGAGCTATTGTTGTTTAAGGCAAATCTCTGCTTCTGTCCCCCTTGACGCCAGCTTGGTCTTGGGGTCAGCTTTGGCTACAAGACTGTTGGGGAACCCCAACAGCAAGAGTGATGCAGCATGCCAGTTTGGAAGTCACATTTGCCTGATGGGTGACAGGGCAAGAGGACATATTAGTGCTAAGGTGGCTGCCAGTACAGAGTCTGGGTTCAGGGAGGCCCCATTCTGGAATAAACTGCCCACAGGTCAGCTCCATCCTCAGGGTCCTCACCTTTGCTGCCATGTTACTCCCACGGGTTAATTTACACTGATGTGGATGGGAAGATAGCGCCCACTGCAGAGACCTTGTGGCTTCCATGTGATTCTAACAGTAATGTCACTACAGAATTTTTTTTTCGGTACTGGGATTTGGACTCAGGGTCTACACCTTGAGCCACTCCACCAGCCCTATTTTGTGAAGGGTTTTTTTGAGATAGGATCTTGCAAACTGTTTGCCCAGGCTGGCTTTCAACCGCAATCCTTCTGAACTCTGCCTCCTGATTAGCTAGGACTACAGGTGTGAGTCACTGGCACCTGGCTTGTGGAACATTCTTGAAGTGTAAAGAATAAAATGCAACCCACACATAATTCACCAAGGGCCCATGAGAACACTCTGGGATAGGTTTTTGGTTTTCTGCCTTCATAGACACATGCTGCTCCACAAAAACTGGAACCTGCATTTATCTTCTTAGTGCTGCATCTCATGCATGGCTCCATGTCCTCTGTGGAGCACACATAGCCCTTAGTCCCCCTCGCTGAGCTCAGAGCAGATGGAAAATGAAGACTCAGGGATGAGGGAGGCCTGGAGTTGGGCTTATGACCAAAGGGTGACTGATTGGTGATGGGTACTGTGTAGTCCTCACTTATCACAATGGACCACTCAAGGACTTCCTCCTGGGTTTTCTGAGCCATTTTGGATCCAGACATCTGCCCAATTCTAGAATGGCAAATAAGCTGCCTAAAGCCTCTAAGTCTTCCCTTCCCTTACAGAGCCCTCACCTGCCTGCCCACTCCCTACCTCCCATACCCGTGGGCTGGGTAGAAGGGGCAGGGAATGCACAGTAAGGAATGGGCTGAGCCTGAGACCTCCCATCTCCAGATCTGAGATCAGTACTGTCCCTCTTCCTCATCCCCTCCTGAGCTGGTTTGTGGACAGTGGACATTTGTCTGTAGCTTGTCCTCTGCTGCGATTTTCTCCACCATGCATTGCCAGGCCAGACCCTCAACACACGTCCTCAAGGTCTGGATAATTTTCTTTGGATCACTTTTCATAAGTGGTATTCCTCCACACATTTAAGTCTTCAAAGTTCACTTTATTTCAAAGTATTCCTTTTTTTTAATGTCTGCATTGAAGAAAATAACTTCAATTTCTGCTCTTAACTTTCATTTCCTTTGTTCCTTGCAAGAAAGTATGAACAAATGTCATGGGAGTTAATCAAATCAAAGTCTCCTGTGGGAAACTCCTGCTCCTAATAAAGGGCTTTTGCATCTTAAAAGACCCTGTTTGTGAAAAGAGGGTGCACATCACTCCATCCCCCAGTGCTCCCCCCCTGCCTGCCTCTCTTCAGAGCCTTCCTCAAGGCCTTTCCAGTCTGGGCCTGAGTGGAGGCCTCCTGAGCTCCCTCCTTTGGTCCTACTTCCATCCCACCTGTTTGGACACTCTCCCACATGCCCATACCACAACCTACCTTAGCAGGGCTGCTGAAGTTTCTCCAGGCTTCCTGACTCCCTTCCTATCCCTGCAGGGAAGGGACCTTGAGGAGCTGGAGGCCCGAGGGTCCTATTCTGGTCCCAGGGCATGGGGATACCCTCCACCGTGGGCTAGGAGGAGGATGGACGTGGACTTGACCTCAAGACCCTGGCCTGGCCACAGCAGCAGCTCTACAGAACCAAGGCAAGCATTGGGGCCCGGGTTTGGGAGTGGGGAGGCAGCCACAGACTAATGCCTGAGAAGTCGTGCTGTCACCCAGGAGTACACCACCCAGGACTGCCTCATCCTTCAGAGGCTGGTCATGCTATGAGTGCTATCTATTGCCTGTGCAGTGGCCACCCACTGTTTCCTCTGAGGCTGAATGGGCTGGGGGATGGCTGCCAGGGTGTTCAGTGCCCAGCACAAGGGACCTGGCTGGACAAGGGTAAGTGTGGCACCTGCTGTCAGCATCCAGGGGAGCTTGTGTCAGCTGAGCAGTACTGCTTTGTCCATAGCCTGGCCCCAGCCTGAGGCATGGTGATGGCCCTAGAAGGGGTCCTTGGCTGTTGAGATGGCCAGTAGCACTTGTCCATGCTGTGCTTTCCCTACAAACAGCAAACCTAGGCATTGGACACTATTCTGAGTCACTGGAGGCAGGCAGCAGGGCAAGGCCTATGAAGTCTCTGCACATGCTCACCTCAGGCAGGTGCCACTGGTGGGCAGCTGGATGGGAGGTGGCCTGGTGGCTCAGGAGCCCCAATCCAGGACTTCTTTACTTTCCTGGGATCTATGAAGGATGAGGGTGAGCATGACCAAGAGAAGATATGGTGGTAGCCTAAGAGGTGACTTGGGGGGGATCATCACAGTGGAAGCATGTAGATTGGTAAGTGACCACATGCATCTAGAAAAAGGTAGTATGGAAGAGAGACCATCAGGAAGGGTTCTGAAAGGACCATGGGTACTAGTGAGCTTGGAAGGCTTAAGACAGAGGGCAGGCCAGGTAAGGCTGTTTGTCTCAGGCATGGGATGGATTAAGTGCTGGTAGCCTATGGGCAGGAGGGAGTTGAGCTTTAGCTGCAGCCTACTATCTGCAAAATAAGGGGCGTGTGGAGTACCTGTGAGGTGCCAGGCAGACATTACTGTGTAAAGGATAGGGTCCCTGACTGCCATCTGTCCCTGTGACAGATGACATCCTCAGGGGCTGAGATTCCTGGTGCCCACATCCTTCTTGGGGATTGGCTGATGGAGGGCTGAGGCCTGGGTAAGGCCCCCAAATCATGCTGATTCTGACAGGTGGTACTGGCTGGAGCTGGTGCAGGGGCTGCTCCCAGGTAGGGGCTGGACACCCACTTTGCCCTGGAGTGCCCAATGCTGTGAGCCTTGTGTCCTTGCAGCCTGCTGGGCTTATAGACTGACACCAAGATCTCAGCAAGCATGCCATGGGTCCACGGTATGCAGAGTTAGGACATCCAGAAGCCCTCCCACTCAGGCAGGCCTACACTAGTGGGACCTATGGGCAGCAGATGGAAAGAGAACCTGTGTTTGGATTCTGGATGATGCCTGGGAGAAATTAAGGCAGAGAGGCTAGCACCCCTGTGGGGACTTGGCCAATCCTGGCCCACAGCTCTTAGGAGGTTGTGGCTCCTGTCCAAGTAGCAGCCAGCATTTATTGGATGCTTACTGTGTTCCCTGGTCTTGTTTGAGTCCCTGTTAACTGGGGGCAGAGCTCAGTCCACCTTCTTAGATCCTGGCCAGCTGGGGACCGTGGGTATAAAGAAAGGGGAACCTGAGGGGCAGGACATCACTAGAGGCTCAGCTCCTGATCAGCCTAACCCTGCCCATTGGCAGTCCAATCCCTGAGACATCTGGGTAGGTGGTGATGGTCCCTGAGAGACCTTTGGGCCAGGCCTGTCCACCCTGAGGGAAGACAGCCGGGCCTTGGACACCCAAGGTCGCCTTACATAGTTTGGGCCGCAGAAAAGAGTTGCTATCGAACGTGTGCCCCGCGGTACCTACATCGGGCAGCCAGTCTTCTCCGTGCACAGGCCTAGGGCTCACTGATAACCGTAGCCTTCGGGCTACACCCAGAGGTACCTTCCCTACGCTAACCCTCAGTACATTCAGCGGCCGTCGCCCGCTCGGGAGGCCCCAGGTACAGCGTCCTCTTTGCGCCTGAAATCGAAAGATTGCCCCAGTCTAGGGAGGCACGACCCCGCCCCCTAGTTCCGGCTCCGCCCCACGTGTGGCCCCGCCTCACGCCCGAGACTCCGCCCCACGCCGCGGCCCCGCCCCACGTTCTTTACCTCTTCTTGCTCCAGGTCCGTCCCACCCCACGCTTGAAGCCCCGCCCCACGCCGCGGCCCCGCCCCCGCACTTCCGGGCGGCGCCGGCGGGGGCGCTCGGGTGGGCTAGGGCTCCGGGCTCAGGGCTCGGGGAAGCGATCGCGGCCGCCGATACCGCCGCTGCAGAAGGCCGCTCGAGTCGGGCCGGAGCCGCGTCCCCGGGGAGCGGGCCGGGGAGAGCGGACGGCCGAGCCTCGGCGGCGCTCCGCGGCCTGCACCGCTCCGCCTCCGGGCCTCCGGCCGCCGAGTCGCCGCGGCCGCGATGGGGCCGCCCCGGGCCGCGCCCCCGCCGGGGCCCGCCCGTCCCTCCGCCGCTGAGCGCGTGGGCCGCGCCGCGTCGGGAGCCGGGCCCGGGGCCGCGCCGCCACAGCTGCCGCGCGCCGGTGAGTAGTGTGGGGCTGGCGGGCCCGCTCCTGAGGCGCGGAGGGCCTGCTGCCCTCGGCTGCCGGTGTAGGCCGCGCTAGGCCGGCGGGCGCGGACCCGGAAGAGAGGGGCGCGCGGGGTGCGGGCGGGAGGCGTGTCGGAGCGCAGGCTGTGAGGGACCAGAGAGCGTGTGGGGCGGGGTGCGTGCGGGGAGGCGTGCAGCAGCTCGTGCTGTGCGGACTGGGAGTGTGCGGGGCGCCACGGGTGTGCGCGGCAGGGGATGTGCGGCTCTGAGAGTGCAGATAGGCGCGTGGGCTGCGTTGTGTGCGGGGAAGGTGTGTGGGGTGGGAGACCAATGTGCCAGGGCGGGGGTGATAGGAGGGGATGACGAAGGGAGAGGCCTTGCCATTGGGGTGTGCTAACCGGGAAGGGAGGGGGAGGACCCAGGATTCTGAGAAGGAACGGGGTCTGCAGTTCGGTGAGTTTGTTTGTACAGAATAGTGGTCCATGGGCCTGGGATATGTTAAGGATATGGGTAGGTGTGTACAGAGTAGCTGCTGGGGCCAGGAAATGTGTGCAGGGGTCCTCCCTTTCTCTCCCTGGCCCAGGAAAAAGTTGGAATGAGTGAATCTGCAACCCAAGGAGGTTACTCACTGGGTCTAGGCTGTGGTTTGGTTTGTTGGATACCCAATTGTTCTGGTGTCCGTATCCTTTCAGGTTGGTACCTTGCTGCCAAAGCACAGTTTTCTCTCTTGGGGTTAGGTCTTCAATTCTGTCCTTACCACACACTTGGAATTTAGCCTCTTGTGAAATCAGAGTGCACACTTTTTAGCTGAGTATGAAAACAGTAAAGATAAATCGTTCCTCTCAGGGTTCTTCTCAGCCCATCTCCCAGATAACTGATGAAGAGTTCTTATTGTCCATGCACATCCTTCTTTTTTGCTCACATGCTTGTTCTTTGTACTCATAGGCCCTGTTTCAGAGAACACACAGTCTAACCCTGGCTACCCAGGATAGCAGCACTAGCTGGATTCAGTTTTAGGAGCTTCCTTTCAGGGCAAGGGTGGGAAAGCACATAAAGCCATGTTTTTGTGTTGATTTCAGCACATGTTGACATATCTTAGATTTCTTGTTTTGGAGAAGCTACGTGTACTTTTTTGGGTTAGATAGGTCATTGAGAATTTATGTGATGGGGAAATGGATTAGCTGTGAGCAGTAACCCTCACTCTTCAAGAGTGTAATTAACAGACATTTGGGAAAATATTATAGTCATGCTGTTATTTCCACATGCAATGTAAATCGGAAGTTTGGAAGTTATGGTAGAGAAAAATATATATACATGGATATATAGCATCCTCCTTGTTGCCATGGTACCCAGGACTGTATGCCTCAGCAGTGCCTGGGGGAATTTAAAATATGGTATCAGACTTGTATATTCCCTTTATGGAATCACTTTATAGGTGGTGGTTACAGGCTGTCGGCCAGATTCAGTGCTGTGGGCATTGGACTCTCACCCAATTAACATGGCTGCTGTATTTGTGGTGTGTATGTGTGTGCGTCCTAAATGCTAGTGTACTTCTCTGTGGGAGTCCAGAGATTTTGTGAACTGGAGTTTTTCAATGTCAGTAATTTGTGGAGGTGTTCATGTGCTTCCAGGGACACTGAAGGTCTTCTATCAGTCGACAGCCAAAAATAGATGTGAATTATAAGACATATTTCTTCTGGGTTCTGAAAATAGTTTAAAGTGATTTTGATGGACATGGTTCACACATGAAGTAAAGTGTAAGTTTTGAAAGAGAGCTACAGCTCTGTAATCAAGGACTGCATCTTGAATTTGCTGCTGTTTCTGCAACAATAATTCAGCGTCTGTGAAGAGCTCCTGTTTGGCATGTGGGACAAGCGTCTTTCTCCTTTGTGACAACACATTAAATATTTATGGATGCCCGCTGGTTGCAGGACCACGTGCTATATGCTGAAGGTGCTGCTGCAGTGATCTACATGGGAGACACGAGTACCTTGGGAGAAAATGACAGTGACAAGCTTCTTGTTTGAATACACTGCTTAGCTTCTTGTCAGTTTCCAGTGACTTGGTTCTTTCTTAAGGCTAGTGGGCTGTCCCACATCTGTAAGGGTAAGGTCAGGTTGTTGGGGATACATGCCCTCTTTCCTGTGATGGCATCCTGGACAAGAGGGTGGTAGGCATCATGAGCTACTGACATCCAAGGTGCTCACTCCTTGCTGATGGGGCTCACAAAAAGTGACTGCAGTTGAAGGTGTGGGTGTCTGAGCAGCAGAGGGCCCACAGCCCACTGAGGCCTTGACCTTAAAAAACAGGCTGGTCTTGCTGGGGCCAAGATTATAGACTACCTAAGAAGTCATTAGCTGTAGAAATATCATTTGGGGCACATAATTGTGACCCATGCTCCATCTTCCTTCTAACCATCAGCAGCTGTTGGAAGATGTGGTATGTACAGTTTAAGAATGCAGTGGGAGAGGGATTCTATGGAGGCCAAGGGCCAGCACAGTGTGGACTGATGGTCAGACAGCCACCCTTTGTGTTGGCTTTGGGATTTATTTTACAGCCTCTGGCTTGCTCAGTGCTCTAGATGTCTCACCCTGACATATGTAGTCTTTTCTGCAGCCTACTTTTAGGCTGGTCCAGTTACATCATGTTAGGCCGTTGCAGTCTCTCTGTTGGCTCAATTGAGAAGGACACCTGGAGCTCGTGGGCTATGTGGGCTCCTATAGGATACAGCAGGAAAGACCAAAGACCATGACTGAGAGTCCTGTCCATGTCTGATCCAGTATGGTCTCTCTTTTTTTACTTTTTTGTTGTTGTGCTGGGGTACATTGTGACATTTATAAAAGTTCTTAGATATCATAGTTGAATTCACCCCCTCCATCATTTTCCTTTTTCCTCCTTTCCCCATTCCTGGTAAAATTGGAAGTACAGACTGAAGTATTGTTGTTTTCTTTTCTTTTTTTTTTTTTTTGTGGCATTGGGGCTTGAACTCAGTACCTCATGCTTGCTAGGCAGGTGCTCTACCACTTGAGCCACTTCCCCCAGGCCTCCAGTATGGTCTCTTTTGCACACCCCACACAGCAACACAAATTGTACTTCCCTGGCCTCTGCGAGGATAGGTGGTTTGGTTTTCAGCTTAGGGAGTTAAATTGTATGAGCTGTATGCTTCTTAGCTAAAAAACATACTTTATCTTCTCTGTCCCTCCAAGTCCCCAGTTAATCATTTGCTAGCAGAAGAGAGCCTCCTTGTAAGAAGAGGTGTTAGCAACCAAGTGCAGCTTTGTGCATTTCTAAGATTGTCTACATTGGTGATGTACAAACACCTCTGCATGTGGGCCATGTCCTTTATCGCTTGTCCATGTTTTTTTTTTTTTTTTGCAGTACTGGGGTTTGAACTCAGGGCCTATACCTTGAGCCACTCCACCAGCCCTTTTTTTGTGAAGGGTTTTTTTGAGCTATGGTCTCTCGAACTATTTGCCCAGAGCTGGCTTCAAACCTCAATCCTCCTGATTTTTGCCTCCTGAGTAGGTAGGATTACAGGTGTGAGCCACCGGCGCCCCGCTCGATATATGGTATTGAAGGTGACCAGTGACTGACTGCTTCTTTAGGTGTGTGTTGAGAGTTGGAGGGACATCTTACTGTGTGCCCTCATGTTACAAGGCATATCAAATATAAGGTGACACAGTAGGCAGAAAACATAGACTGTGAACTTGGAAGTTACTCACGGTAGTACCTCATGGTCTGTAATGTTCCTCTTTGCCATTTTGAGCGTTGCTAGGGTGATCATTCTTACATGTGAGGCAACAGTGCGGGTTGGGGCTAGAAGCACCCTTCCTTCCTCTAGCCTTCCTGCCCCTTGATCACTCAGTTCTTTAACCAGGATGGTGGTCCTCAGGCCCCTGGTCTCTCTGTGGGGTGCTCACAGGAGGACACTTGAGAGACAGTTGTCCTTTGTGTTCTGGGAATTCACTTAGTATAAGAGGCATTCCTATATTTGTAAGCTTCCAGAAGTTTTCTTGATGTACAGCAAACTTTGTGGCCAAAGTATGTCTCTGCTGGAAACCTGAACCGAGTTTCTGCTTTGAGCGGGAGTGGGAGGGCCTTGCTGCGTGTCTCAGAGAACCTCCAGTTGCTTCCATGAACCACCTTTCCTAATCCTTGTCCTCTTAATGGTTTCAACAGGACAGATTGATTCCCTTTGGAGCTGTAAGTACTGATGTATTAGGGTCAGCGCTCATTGTTCATTGACGCACAGAGTCCCAAAATGAATATCCAGGAGCAGGGTTTCCCCTTGGACCTCGGAACAAGTTTCACCGAAGATGCCCCCCGGCCCCCAGTGCCTGGTGAGGAGGGAGACCTGGTGTCCACAGACCCAAGGCCTGTCAGCCACAGTTTCTGCTCTGGGAAAGGTGTCGGCATTAAAGGTGAGACTTCAACAGCCACTCCAAGGCGCTCAGATCTCGATCTGGGGTATGAGCCTGAAGGCAGCGCCTCCCCCACCCCACCGTACTTGAGGTGGGCCGAGTCACTGCACTCCTTATTGGATGACCAAGATGGGATCAGCCTGTTCAGGACTTTCCTGAAGCAAGAGGGCTGTGCTGACCTGCTGGACTTCTGGTTTGCCTGCAGTGGCTTTAGGAAGCTTGAGCCCTGCGATGCAAACGAGGAGAAGAGGCTGAAGCTGGCTAGAGCCATCTACCGGAAGTACATCCTGGACAGCAGTGGCATCGTGTCCCGGCAAGCCAAGCCAGCCACCAAGAGCTTCATAAAGGACTGCGTCATGAAGCAGCACATCGATCCTGCCATGTTCGACCAGGCCCAGACAGAAATCCAGTCCACCATGGAGGAGAACACCTACCCATCCTTCCTCAAGTCTGACATTTATTTGGAATACACAAGGACAGGCTCAGAGAGCCCGAAGGTCTGCAGTGACCAGAGCTCAGGGTCAGGGACAGGGAAGGGCATATCTGGATACTTGCCTACTTTGAATGAAGATGAGGAATGGAAATGTGACCAAGATGCAGATGAGGATGATGGTAGAGACTCTGCTCCCCCCAGCAGGCTTACCCAGAAGCTCCTCCTGGAGACAGCTGCCCCGAGGGCCTCCTCAAGTAGACGGTACAGCGAAGGCAGAGAGTTCAGGTGAGTCTGGCACAAGGTGTCCATTTTCTGTGCTCACCTCTGAGATCTGGAGAAGAAGCAAGGGAAGAGTGTTATGGGTGGCTTTGTCTTTTAACCCAACCAAACTGAATGTACTGCTTTATTATCTATTTATGATACCTTCGTCTTTGTCATTAGATTTTTGTTGTTGTTGTACTGGGAATTGAACTGAGGGTCTTGCAATTTCTGGGCAAGCAATCTACTTTTTGAGCCTTGCTCCCAGATAGATTAAAAAAAAAGAAAAAAAAAAGTACACTGGACCCCATTGTTCTCATTCTAGAGACAACTCACTTTCAGCCCTTAAAAGCATAATCCTTTCCTAATAAACTTTACTCTTACTTTTACTGTAGAAAAAAAAAAAAAAAAGAATTGTAAGCTTGGGCCATGCTCAAGTAGTAGAGCATTTGCTTTGGACTGAAGGTGTGGCTCAAGCTGTAGAGCACCTGCTTTGCAAGCATGAAGCTCTGAGTTCAAACCCCAGTCTGACCAAAACAAACAAATAAAAAAGAGCACTTGCTTTAAGAAGGTTTTTTTTCTTTTTTTTTTTATTGGGACTGGGATTTTAACTCAGGACTTCATGCTTGCAAAGCAGGAACTCTTAACACTTGAGCCACAACTCCAGTCCATTTTGCTCTGGTTGTTTTGGAGATAGGGTTTTGTGTACTGCTTGGGCTAGCCTCAAACTTCCATTGTCTGGATCTCAGCCTCTCAAGCAGCTAGGATTACCTAGCTGGTGTGAGCCACCATCATCTGGTCCTGCCTAGTAACTTTGAGATCCTGAATTCAGTCCCTGGTACTGCAAAAACAAAACAAAACAAACAAAACACCTTCATTTGCTGGGCAAGGTAGCTCACATCTGTAATCATAGCTACTTGAGAGGCATAGATCAGGAGGATTGTGGTGCCAAACTAGCTTGAGCAAAAAGTTCCCAAGACCCCATTTCAACCAATAAAAGTTGTGCATGGTGGTATGCACATGTCATCCCAGCTTTTGAGAAGTGTAGATAAGAGGATCTCAGTCTAAGCCAGCCTGGGCATAAAACAGCAAGACCCTGTTCAAAAGCTACCTAAAGCAAAAAGCGCTGGTGACATGGCTCCAGTGGTAGAGTGCCTGGCTGAAGACCCTGAGTTCAAACTCCAGTACTGCCAAAAAAAAAATGTAGAGAATATTTTTTATCAAGAATGGCCTTGTTGAGTGTGTGGTGCATGCCTATAATCCAGGGTACTCAGGAGACTGTGGCTCATGGATTGCAAATTCAAGGCCAGCTTGGGCAACTTAGTGAGATTCTGTCTCAAAAAAAAATAAAAAGGGTTGGGAGTATAGCTCAGTAGTGTGAGTCCCTGGGTTCAATCCTCAGTACTACAAAAAAAAAAGCACTAAATGGCTTTGTGAATCATTTGGAAAATGGGAATGCTTAGAAGTCATAATGAGGCTTAAACTTTACCCTTGAGCACTAAAATTCTTGTCTTTTTAAATAGAAGATGGATTTTTTTTTTTTCTTTTTGTGGCATTGGAGTTTGAACTCAGGGCCTCATGCTTGCTGGGCAGGCACTCTACCACTTGAGCCACTCTGCCAGCCCATAGTAGATTTTCTTGTTACATTTGTTAGAGACATTATCCTTTGGGCTTAATAATAGCAGGAAAGGACCTTCACATACATTGGTACTTAGAGAATTCTGTTGGTTGCTTTTTGTAAGGATCTTCTTGAGATTCTTCCTGGAGGCTGAAACAGTGGGGGAGTGATTTTTGTGTGGTGAATTGTCCCAGCACTCAAGAGAACTTTGGGGAGCTGCTCTTGGAGCTCCAGGATTGGACATTTTGCTTTACCAGCAAAGCATTAGGGTTGTGGTGTTGTCAGTGCTCAGTAGCCCAGGATGCTCTGCTTTCAGGAGTATGTGAGTAGGGACACTCACAGCTTTGGGAGGAGCAGTGATCTATGGAGAAGTTGCTACCACTTTGAAACCCATTTCTTCACTTTTTCTTCTCTGTAATCACTACATGGTTACAGGAAGCTCATTTGGCTTTTGTGTTGGCATCTGTTGCACTTGTGAGCAGAGTACTTGCATTTCCCAAGAGCTGGGGACTGGGGGTTGGGCCTGCCATTGACCACTGCTGACTTAAGCATAAGCTGAAAACTTGTCCTCAAGTGCTGAGACTGGTGGAGTTAAAAAATGATACCACCAAAAAATAAATAAATAAAAAAACGGGACCTGGGAGCTGGTGGAGTGGTTCAAGTGGTAGAGCACCTGCCTAGCCAGTGTGAGGCCCTGAGTTCAAAGCCCAATACCTCCAAAAAAACTAAGACACCAGTTCTTCAAGTTTTCTGGGACCATAGCACACCATGAGGAAACTGAACACTGGTAAATCAACAGAGGGTTAGACTTTTAGACTTTTTTTTTTGGCGGTACTGGAGTTTGAACTCAGGGCCTACACCTGGAGCCATTCCACCAGCCCTTTTTGTGAAGGGTTTTTATCAGGTAGCTAGTCTCTCAAACTATTTTTCTGGGTTGGCTTTGAACTGTGGTCCCCTGATCTCTTTCTCCTGAGTAGCTAGGATAACAGGTGTGAGCCACCAGCTAAAAACATTTTTAAGATGGTACTACAGGCCAGGCATAGTAGAGCATGCCTGTAATCTTCCAGCACTCCTAAGAGTTAGGAGGATCACAAGTTCAAGATCAGCCTGAGCTATATAGTGAGACCCTGTCTCAAAAAAAAAAAAGATGGCACTAAATATGAGGGCTGGGCTGCAGGGAAAAGATTAGCTCAGTTCTGATTTCTAACTTTAAAAGCTGCTGAGGGGCTATCAGAGTGACTCAAGTGGTAAAGCGCCTGCTGCCTAGCAAGAGTAAGACCTGGAGTTCAAACTCCAGGACTGCAAAAAAAAAAAAAAAAAAGCTGCCAAGCTCATGCTGGAGCCAGCCCATTGGTCTACTTTCAGTTCTTGGTCATAGCAGCAGCTCTGTTGTTTCACTTTTTGGTTTGCTTTATTTGTAATAAGCAACTTTTGCTGCAAAGTTAATAGCACATGTGGGCTGCTTCTGTTAGGTAGTGCTTAACCCTAAGGGCTTTGGTACTTTTTTTTTTTTTTTTTTTTCAGTGCTCGGGTTTGAACTCAGGGCCTACACCTTAGCCACTCCACCAGCCCTTTTTTGTGATTGGTATTTTTGAAATAGGGTCTTGTGAACTATTTGCCCAGGCTGGCTTTGATCTGCAATCCTCCTGATGATCTCTGCCTCCTGAGTAACTAGGATTACAGGCATGAGCCACTGGCTCCTGGCTTACAGTTTGGTTTTATTTGCTGTCAGGGAGTTGGTGGCAGAGAACTCTGGAGTGCAAGAGTACTGTTGGACACCTATACCCTCCTGCTTGAGATTGCCTGTGGTGTAGTTTTGTGGTTTGGAGGTCTCTGGTGTTGGGGGTCATTTATTAGCACTGACATGATACAGATCCAACATGGATTTTTTGGGGTTTTTTTTTTTCTTTCAGTGCTGGGATCTAACCCAGGGCCTCACACATGGTAGGCAAGCACTCTACTACTGAGGAACACTCCTCCCCCAAGGTGCGAATTCTCATTTGAAAGCATTCTGTTTGTCACACAGGGGTGCAGTTAGGAGGCATTCAGTTGGGAGTAACAATCCAGCACACCTGGGCTTAAACAGGGACAGGAATTGGTTGACTTTGTTCATGTGCTTTAATCAGGACTTCAGCCCTTTACTTTATGCGCCACTGACCCTAGCTCCTTGCTGACTGCCTTTGTTGGCTCCCTTGTGCTGGAATTAGCTACTGCAGTGAACTTAGGCTCTGGGCGCCCTTGTTTATGATTACTTTCCATAGCACCTAAGGAGGGCTCTGCATTTTCTCAGCATGGGGAACACTAATGCTGCTGTGACCTGCATGTCCCAGCATGCTGAAGGCTTGAGGCTGTGCTGTTGTGCTTAAACCATGTAGGGCCATCTTGGATGAAAAGTGAGGTGCTCCATCCAGACAGGATGGCTTGGCTGTTCCTCAGTGAGGGAGAATGGGCTCTCAAAGAATGATGGGGGTTAATAGGGAGAAGAAAAAGGAGAGTGGATGCTGAAGAGGTGATCAGCAAGCATTGATTGGGGAAGGAGGCATTAAAGCAAAATCTATTTGGCTAGGAGACACACCTTCACAGTGGACAGCAGGTTAATGAAGTACAGAGGGCCAAATCTAGAACAGCACAACATGGAGGGAATTGGGGTACTGGCCTCCTTGCTATGTGTCCCTGTGGTGTGGGGCTGCTCTGCTGTTCTCCTGTCCTTATTTGTGCTATGTGTGCTGATTTTCATGTAGGTGATTTGAGGAAGGTCAAAATGAGTCTTTTACTTAGCTCTCTATCGAAACAGAGGAATGAGATACATTGGCTGTTTTCTGCATTTGCATGCTCAACATGCATGCATTTTGAGCCTGTGGGCCCAGGCTGCCCAGAACTCAGCTCCCTCCTTTGCTTCTCATAGGCTTTTTCCAGTTCTTGTTGCCTGTTGTCAGTGGAACTTGAATTTTGATCCTAACTTGGGTTGGTTCATATGCATCTTTTTTTTTCCCCCTCCCAATCCTGGTGACCCTAAGAGGTGTGGTTTAGTTTTTGTTTTTTTTTTCTTCTTTTTTTTTTTTTTTTTTAAACTTGCTGGGGATCTAACCAGGGCCTGGTGCACACTAGGCAAGTGCTCTGCCACTGGTCTATATCCCCAGCTCAGCCAGTTTAACAGGTGTGAATTAGCAGAATCTGGCTATTTACTTAGTGATTTGGCAGTCAGGCCTAGGACTGGGACACATTACCTCTGAAGGTGGGCCTAGTTCACAGGTGCCATCCAGGGCTGGCTGGTCTTCTGCCAGGACGTATTGGTAAGGCCTAAAGCCAGCCCAGCTGCCTCAGCCTCCAGCTATCTCGATGCTGGTTTATTTATTATTACTATTTTTTTTTTGATACTGGGGCTTGAACTCAGGGCCTTCACCTTGAG